GTTAAACTCAACTTCGATTACATATTTTCTTCTGGCAGTTAGCAATCTCGCTGCACAACTTATGTAGCGTAGTATTTCCGCGGACAGTTTTCAATCTAAACCCTTTTATGTTCTCCTCATAAAAAAATACTTTTTTATTATATGTAATGAAAAAATGACTTGGATCGAAATATTTATTTTTGAAAATTAACAACTAATTTCATTTATGTTACAAATGGCTGAGGTCGGTTGCAACAAAGTTCACGTGAGTTGACATAGCTAAGACAATTATCAACGTACCATTAAGGCACGTTTGCTGGACTGTGAATCTAAATCTTTCGAGTGCTCAGGTATGACATGACGAAAGGGGCACTTATCCCCAGCTTCACACGCACCCGTAAACTCCAAATCGATACAGGGCAACTGTTAAACATCTCGCTGATCCGGTGATGACCTGATGTTGAAACCAACCTTTGCAAACGGACACGACCGTCCACCTGGACACGTTCCGGCTTCTGAGTTGAGTCTTAGTGGTTCGGATATGTACAACTTAAGCAGTCCACATTCCATTTCAGCAATCTGTGATTATTGATTTTTTTGCGACGTGGAAGGTAATGGTTCATCGGAATAAACCAGCTGTCAATTGGTGAGCATGTCGAACAACACGTCAATGGTAAACTGTGGCTCCACTAATCTCCACGTCGGCGTTCAGATTTCCTATCACCTCTAGCGACTTTAATGCTCTCTACTTTCCACCTTGGCACGCCATTTTATTGGCGCGCACGCTCACCGTTGCACATATTCCGTCTAACCGCGTCTACTTTGGTTACTTTCTTCTTCGCATCGTTGTTTGAGAACTTGGAGCGCAACTTCACAAACCAACTCTGAATCTGAACTACACTTAAAATGTAATGACGGTTCTTTTACTTCTACCAGTTCCCCTTAGCTAAAACGTCAGAAGATACGCGCTCGCTAGCAACCATGTGGTTTGAAAAGACTACGAATACGACTTGCAACGAAAGGCTAGCTGCGTCGATTCGGTGTAACACAATGGTGTGTGCATTTGTGTTTTCTGCCTCACATCTATGTGATGGTTTAGATGTTAGGATGACAGCAACCACGGCCCAACACAAAACTCTAATGTGATGTGATTTCGCTTGTCACCAAACAAGACAACTAATCGATCAAAAAGTCGGCGTAAAATTAGAAATCGGAATCAAAACACACACCAGACGATAGACGGTTGCGAGACACATCATTTATCGTTCCTATTCGTCTTCTTCTTGTTCTTCTTCTTCTTTTGCTTATGGTGATCATTCGTGGTGTCTGGTTGGACGGGACGACATTTGCTCCGGTCGCCAATTGGACAATGTTCTAGAACCTCAGAACATTGACTGAGTGGGTTATTAGGTTCAAACACTGGAGGACTTGTGTCTGAATCGCCTTTACTACACTGAAACAATTGAGCGCAGTCGAGGAGCCCGCTAGTTGTGTTGCTTTTTCGTGTGGCAAACAGAGCAGACCGATGTGGCTGCTCTCCACGTGATTGGCGCGCCGATTGCTGGAGCTGAGCAGATGTGACTGGATCAGCTGAAGCACCTACGTTTTCTGTGGCTTGCAGATGAGACTAACGATTTGTTACAATAAGACGACGTTAACTTACATGCTGTCTAGTCGACGTGGGAAGATTCGAAGCAGCTTCGGGTGGACTCTCAACACCAGATCCTTGGGGGACATTTGCAGCACCACTCAAGGCTTCCTCGTCTTTGGGGTTGCGTACTTGACGCTCAGGCGGCGTACGACGATGCATTTTGCAATAAACCACCTACTCTAACTCGCCACTTTTAATACCCAAATATAAATTACAGCAGTTCGTAGTCATGTGAGCATTGTTCGTTAAAACTGCACTGAGATCACTTATTAGGCATCGCTTCTAGTCGTTCACTTGAACTCCAATCTTAGCAAACACACAT